AAGCTTAAAAACTCGGTTTTGCACGGGAACTGTTCGAACGGGGCAAATTTTTGAAAAAGGGGACAATCACTTAACTTTTTATAATCTTTTGTTAGAGAAATATTTGAAGTTTCTAAAACTTTTCACAAATTTCCAAGATGTCGCATACGAAAGATTTTATGAGCTCTCAAAGTTGGAGGTGCGCCTTCTCAGAATTTTGGGTTTTCCGCTTCTGACAGAAATACTTTTGGGAGAGTTAGGTCATCCTTGCAATTTTCTGTAAAGCCACCTCAGGCACAGTTTAAACCTACCTCAATAAGTGAAACAAATACGTCTCAAGAAAGTTACACTCTCCTAAAACTTTTTCTTCGCCGCGTCCCAGTTTTCCAGCGTCCGGGTGATACCTGCCGCGCTCCAAGGTTGACGCCGCAACGCAAACGCTTTCTGCGGCGGTTTCTGACGCAATCATGTCAGTCCTACTCTTCTTTAATCCTTCCTCTTTTTTCAGCTGTTTGAGCAGAAGTTCGTCAGTCTTCATGTTACTTGTTGGATATCCCTCCATTTGGTCTTACACATTTCGCTTTCATCCTCATTTTGGCGTGATTGTGAGCGAACAAAAATTTTGATCTCGCGAGGCTAACCATAAAAAATAGCTTTCATTAGCCAGTGCCCTGTGATTCTTGCTCCTTTGGGGCTCATCTTAGGAGATGCATTGATGGAGAACGTAACTCTCTTTGATTTACTCCCTTGAACTGCTCTTGTGATTCTTTCGGAAGCATGAAGTTTGAAGTTTTGGGCAACATGAAAAAAATATTGAATTTTTTTCAGAAATTCAATGATTTTTTGAAAACAATTCAATTCAAATTTCAGTGAAGATCTCAATATTCAAATGTTCTGTTCATATTTCATGGAAGTTCATTGTCCATTTGAAAACAATGAACTTACGAACTTACGAACACAACATTTGAATATTGAATTCTTTACTGAACATTTGAATTGAATTTTTTTCAAAAAATCATTGAATTTTTGAAAAAAATTCAATGATTTTTTGAAAAGAATTCAATTCAAATGCCAGTGAAGAATTCAATATTCAAATGTTTTGTTCTATGTCATGGAAGTTCATTGTCTTTAAAAGGTTTTAGTTCACTGTCTTTGAAGTAAAATGAGTGAAATAAATATTTCACTTAACATTTAGTCAGCACATTCGGCACTTCCATTACCTAAGAGGGGGTCGCAACTGGACCCCCTTGAGATAAGGGGGTGACCCCCTTGAGAAAAGGGGGTCGCAAAAACCCTGAAAATGTTCGAACGTGACGGTTGACCCGCCCCTGCTCCGCATATGGGCTGCGTACGAAGTTATTACGAGATCCCAACCCGTTCAGCCATGGGCAAATTGATTATGCCGATTTTGCTGATTGTCAACTTGAAGAACTTTGATTCATTCGAAACCAAGCTCAGCGACCACCGCCGCCGCCGGACACTTTCATGCCACCGCATTTATTTGATCCTAGAGTGCTGACTTACATGTGATAAAAGAAGGTTTTTGTTACCGAGGCAGCTTCTCCGGGGCCGATTTGATTCGGATGATCACTTCGCATCTGCTTATTAACTTAAAGGGGAAGGATTACGATAAAGTCGCCCATCGAAAGTGACTCCGCAAAAATGCATAGCAATAGCCGGGCGGCTTTGTCCTCCGGCCCAGATGTCTCTAACTTGCAAGCGCTCTGGCGGACTTGCGCCGGATCCTTAATGTGCTCCGCACCACCGTGTGCAGCGCACACCCAGTGTGTTGCCAGTACATTCGTTTCGATTGGAGGGTACAAGCCACTTCGGGTACCCCGGCAGGAGGCTCGCCGCCGGCAAGTTCGCCAGCACATTACGCCGAATCGCGTCGCATGATCTCGCGATGTGGGACGCACAGTGGTGTCTTCAATCAACTTGAGAGCAAAAAATCGCTACCGTACACGCCGCGTCACCGTCCGCTGCGCTCTGCTTGTGGCATGCGAGCGGGCCCCACCGTCCGAAGTTCGCCTCCAGCTTTTGTTCGGCCGTATCCTATAACATTTTTGTGGAAAACCTTATCAGTCTAAACAACCCCTCAGTTTAGTTGGTTGCTGGCGCGTCCATCATCTTAGGTCAGCGGGCAAATTAATGAGTCCTATAGTGAGTGCTCTAGACAGATTTCTTTGCATTTTTCACGATTAGTTCATTGCTCACTCAGCATCTCCACGTCCACTGTAAATCGAACCCAATCTTCGCGTAATCATTCACTTCGAATTTTTCGTAGTATTCATATAAGGCGAAGTATTCTCGAGCGTACTCGCTCCAACCTTCAAAGCTATATCTCCACCCCATGTTTTGTTTGATTCGCCTAGCAGCTTATCAATAGCATTACCTTTCAGGCTGAGCACCTTCACAAGGAAAGGATACCAGGTCGAAGTGGCCATTTGTAACGAGACATACACCACTAGATGTGTTTTTGGACGCTGATCTCGAATCTGCTCTCCAAATCTGCGGAACGATTCTCTGAACGTAGTTATGAAGCGAGATAGTGCAGTGGCAGCGGCCCGGGCCGACGACAAGAGGTCGTGAGATCGACTTCTTGGCGAGTTCTCACTTTTGCTTTTCTTGAGAACATTTGGAGAGACTTCCGTCTATGCTGAGTCATCAGCGGCTTACAGGCTCTTCCTGCCAGTGTCTCCCATTGAGCTTTCATTTGACGTAATGTTGTTCAGAGAATCGTCTCGCAACTTCGGAACCTGATTTTGAGGTCAGCGTTCGGAAACACTCTATGTGTATAAGTTTCATTACATGTAAATGGCCACTTCGAGCTGGTATCATTTCTTCGTCAGTAGCACTTATAATCTTTCTGGTCAGTGTAAGTTGCGCAGTGAATGCACAGGTATCATACATGGAATGGTACGGAGGATAGTTAGCTTTTGATTCAAAATGATCAAAAACGCACCCAAAATTTGAAAAATATTCAAAAAGAGAAAGTGAAAACAAATGGCACATAATATCGTAACAACCTGGTACATCGCCTATCAATTTGCACTCTGTTTATTCATCATAAAATTCAACATTTGCATCAGCTCAAGGGTCTGATTATGCAAACTCGTATTGAGGAAGTGCGAATCTTCGGAGAACTCGAAAAACTGTAACAAAAGGAAACGCCGTTGAGTTTACTTATTCACTTTTGCGCTGAGACTTTAGGTAGGTTACGCAACCTTTATTATGGTCAAGAGCTGTTTTCCTTCAATGAGCTTTCGGCTTCAAAAGCTTCTCAAACCGCTACACCTTTGGTATTAGTCAAATTTCCTCAACTGTATCAAGAAGACGCTAAGCGCTCTTAAAGCTCAGTCTCGAACAGACACGCCTGCCAGTTAGCATCGCTTGTCCAGTGTTGGTTCAAATTTTTCGTCGGCCGGTGGACGAGAAAATGGTATATGTATATCAGAGTTACTGAGATTGTATGCAGTGCACTCGAAAATCCTACATATAGGTACGTTCATCTGGTTGGGGACATGTAGCCGCAAAATGGGTCAAATTTGGGATTAATTCTCGCGCACATTATCTAGGCCATCCACCCTCTAGGGTCGCAATGAATATGGCTGGTCGGCGTCAGCGTTACTCATCGCGCTGTGAAGAGAATGATGGTTGTTTTTTGACACGTGCACGTGCAAGAGGGAATCTCGACTTAAGAACCCCGACAGTGATCAAAAATCAGAGACCCTCAAAGAATCGATGATGTGGTGTGCATTGGACACATGACATGCATTTTGAGATGATTCTTGAATAACGTCGATTAGTAACTAGACCCTTCCACACAATAAGCGAGCACCAGGATAAATGCTGACGGACGTACGCGAAAACTCTGTACAAGTGATACTAAGCGCTAGGTGTCCCTGAACAAGTAGACCAGGGGCCGGGTGCAGCAAGCCCCGGCGAGGGGATGGGTCCCCAAAACTCTGCATCTCTGGACGCATCCCCTATTCTTGATCACGAGGACTGCGTCATCGATCGGAGTAGAGACGCAGATTTTGGGGACCCATCCCCTTGCCGGGGCTTGCTGCACCCTGCCCCAAAGTACTCTGGCCCGTGATATGCACGGATGGAGTCGCCGTTGGCGCACTCTCGGACTAATTGAACTGATGAATAAGAAATTACAAGTGATACATAGATGATTCCTTCATGTAATCAATTGAAGGAGAGCCGGCTACGCGGCGTGTTCGAGCACAATTCAGCGCCTCGAAAGAATAGTCTTTTTTGAGCAAAAATATAAACAGTTTTATAGACAGCAACATTAACATTTGGGATGCATTCGATGAAAGTTACTGTGAGTCATTTGTAGACGGCAAACGAAGGGGTCAGGACTGGTGAGCCTGAAACGTGCAATCATCAACAAGATTGGTTTTCACCTAATTTGATGATTGGTTTAGTTCAAATACGAAACTGCCACTTCTAATTTCTTTGGATTCCCCCAACTTTAAGGTCAAACCCAGCGCAATGGGTGTCCTGGCATCACCCTTCATTGAACGCGCCATACAAATCGATTAAAAGGGCAATTTAGAAGTGGATGAAGTACACCTATGATTTTGTATTAGTCGTTTCGGGCTGTCACACAAACTTGCTACACTTAATTCGATGTGATGCTCGAAGTTCTTATAACTAGTTCCTTTTTGAAGTCAAGACCTTGAATTATAATATAACTCGAGGTTGAATGCATGAACTACATTATAAAATAAAACAACCATTAGTCATTATAAAATAAAACATCTATTGGTTCCAGCTCAAGTTTCACAAAAAAGACTGAAAAATCCGAAAGGTTGCCGCTCTGTTGGTATGTATTCCGTATAAATCTTTCACACGCTCCTATTATTCCGTTTTCCGACTTGTCACGAGTCGAACTTTAAGACGCACTGACTTGTAAAACGTAGTAGGCATTATGACTTTGAGAACTTCCATTTCAATTCTCAGATAGCTAAGTCACAGCTACGGATAATATTTAATGGCAAAACAATTGCCCAAGACAGGAATCGAACCTGTGTCGCGCCACGGCCACAACGTGGAGTACTAACCCACTATACTACTTGGGCCGAAAACCAGGAGCCATAGTATCCTCAAGAATCTTTAGTCGGAACTCTCGCTCCGCATAACCTGCAGGCAATATTATCGAACCCTTAATCCACTCACATTGCCCAACTTCCTATCATGTATCCCCCGTATATCACTATAAAGTTCCCGGAATTTACGCGGGCCGCTCACTACATCCCTATATTCAAGCTTAATCCGCCCAATAAATTACCTTTACCGTAGCCTGCTTAAGCCACGACCAGACTGGAAAGCACCACCAGTCCTCTTAGACCTCTTAACGTCCTCAATCAGCGAGCGCCCCATCCAATAGCGACCACCACCCTCAACATCGTGGCCGATCCTGTAGAATTCGATTCTAGGACCAGTCCACGCGCTCCAACACCACACACATTTTAATTCGGAATAGCCTAGAGGGGTAAGTGTGACCGAAGACAGCAAACGTTCTAGTTTCTCCATGTCGCGCTTCTACTACCCCCTTTTAACCTTTGACCTCGGTACCCCTAACTAGACTCCGCTTTCCGAAAACTCAATACGACCCAGCCCACTGAGAACTAACGCAAAACAGCCGCTCCTTCCCAATGCGCCAGGTTAGCAGGGTCTTAGATACTGTCTTGACGATGTTAATGTAACCTGGTATTCAAACTCGTCAAAATCAGAACATGTTCTGGTTCTGTAACGATCTGCTGTGATTGCTGCTGTATTGTTCTTCAAAGCCACATTGCAACAGGGGCAACAACAACGTAGGCATTAATTTAAATAGTAAATTGGTATCTTATAAGCACGAAGTTATTACGTGGGGTTTACAGATGGTGTCAAGTAGGATCTTGCATATGGATTCCTTGGTCCTGCCGAACATTTCATACCAGCCTCTTTTCCATATCGGACGTCCATGAGAATACCAAACAAACTTCCGACTGTGGCGTTGAAGGCAATCGCCGTGATGAGAGATGATTGGGCAATATCGGCAGTGTACCGCAAAACTGAAAGCTCTAGTAGAAAACGCAGTATATTATTTGTGTTTGTTTCTTCTGCCGTTCGAGGTTGATAGGTGGAACATTTATTCAATCGGCCTAACGTTTCGACAAAATCGTCGTCTTCTGAGGCCTAAACGCGGTTCAAGGTTGAAATTCACGATCTAATCCACCAAGCGCCTGATCTCCTCTAGCGGTTCCGACTTTCCGTCGGGAGTCCCACCGAGAAACATAAGCAAAACAAATTTTGACCCACCCAGGGGTTCCCAACGTTCCGTGTGCGGAATTCCAGCTTCTGCCACTAGGCGCGCAAAGTCATTAAGACATATGACCATCCACGTCCTCCTGAATTGGCGAATCGCTCTCTCTGATATGGCGTAATCCGCGGGAACCCCACGTTACGCTTCCATCTACATGTCTCGCAGTGCGTTCATATAATGGTGAGAGATCAACTTGTTACTCGAAGTCGTTGTCATCCCGCCGTTATCGGCCTGAATCTCCTTTTGCGGAAATCCAAATTTCCAATCCTTCCTAGCATAATTCCGTCTCATCGCGCCAACACACGACATTGCCTCATTACGAAATCAACGCCATTGTGCTTCTCAGCCTTATGCCTTCCAAGAGCCATTGAACGAGTACCGCGCCTCATGCTAGCCAAATATTCTTTGATGCGGATGGCTGAAACCCTCCCTGTTTCTCCAATATAGGTTGAGTTACAAGCCCGCATTCAATTCGGTAAATTACTCTCCCTATAGGCACAATCTCCAATTCTACCGTATGGGCAAATAACACAGCCTTCTGACACGCACTGCTTATCATAGAGCCTGTTTCGCACCAATTGCCGTCCGATGTTTTCGTTGGGAATATTGACCAACTGAACATCATTGTGCAGCTGTGCTCTTCTGATACTCCGTTGAATAGCAGCGCTCACTTCGTCAGATATAAAGGGGAGACATAAGGGCAACTTGATTTGACGCGGTACCCCTCTTGGGGAGATATGCTGACTCTGGTGTCTTTGCACCGCATAGCCGTTTGCAATGGCTATTTGTGTAGCTAATTGTCGTGATTCACGTCTTTCAACATCTCCAGTGCTCACCCTGGTCGCAGTTCTGAACATATTTCCAATAATAGCACGTTTAACAGCGACTGGGTGAGCCGAGGTCGCGTGAATCAAAATGTTTTTCGAGCTACTTTTGCGGTACCATTTCACATGTGCGATGCCACTGGATAATTTGACTTGCGTATTGAGGTAGGGCAACCAACCGTCGTGATGTTTTGCGAGTGAGCTTGATGTACGAGGTTACAACAAGAGCCAGAACACCGTTGAACTTCAGTTTATTTAAATTTTTTGTTTGTCCACAATCTGCCTTGCGTCAAGCAGTTCATCGAAGCGAAGGTTTATCCAGAGTGCTGACTGAGCGATTAGACAGCGAACAGTCACCTAGCCACGTTGACGCTTTGTTTTCATAGGGAAGCGAAAGCTGCTAACTTAGGCGGACGAAGCAGTGTATGCATCCATACCGACTCTTTATTTCGCGCTGGGAAGTTTACCATTTTCAAAATAATGAAAAGAGCAGCTATCGAAACGAAAAATTGCTATCAAGTCATTATTGTTCAGCCCCACGTTACAGCTAGAGAGCCCTTCCATCATTGGTGGGTCGCCCATGTAGTGCATTTCATTACCATGTGGTCTCTCTTCAAAATTTGTATTTCCGAAAAAAAGCAATCAGTCCGGAAATCTTTATGACCATCTGAATCCTACGTAATGCCCTCACATTGTGAATGTTGAACACCTTGTATACAAAATCTGAATTCACCCTGGAAGGCAGTTCTTTTCAAATTAACTTAGCGATGAAGTTACATTAGGAAAGAAAAAACCATGAGAAACAGCTCAAAACATGGGGTCCCTTCATTGCCCGTTAGTTTGCGCATTGATGCGACTTTCTGTTCCCTCCTCAACACTACGCTCTCTCACCTATCTAATCACTCGCCACGTATAGACCTGCGCAGATGATGGTCGGTGGGCGTGCACTGGCCCACCGCGCCAAGATTGAGCCTTAATAGGTCGCCGAGGTCAACTCCTTCGGTGCCAATTGCGCGTCAGTCCGCACCCTCAGGAGGTCCGCGGGTCCCTCAACTAGGTGAATTCCTCCTTCTTCGACCTTCATTCTAATCGTGAATTCCTCCTTTGAAAACTTACAAAGTTGAAATTGGGAATGTGACGTTTTCAGAATCCCCTCCCACATTTTGGACGCGACCAAGAGCATGAATGCCACTGATCTAGACCGCGTGATTGTTTATCTGGCTGTAGGCAGTACTTGTTACGAATTTCTACTTCCTGTTTTCCATGTGAAATATGTATAGGGGAGAGGGTCGCCAAAAAAGTCGCTTTGTCCTGGCATATCACCAAACCTTTTCCAAGCAAGGTACCGCTGTTAATACACTTTTACGGCAAAGTCTTTCTGGGACGTCCCTAATGAGCAGGAGGAGGTACTTCTTCACCGTCCTCAGAATACGGCGTCGCCTACGGTAACCGCTCCAGCCTAAAGCTGCTGAATGAATTCCTTCAATCGGTCAGATGATGAAAGCTTCCTAGTGACTTCATCTCCGACTAGGCAACACCATTCCTATCAAGTTATTAGATAACGTCGTAATGGCCTGCGATCCGTCGAGGACCTCGTTGAGTTGCACCACATTCGTGACCGTGCACCACATTCCCGTGGGAAAATCTTCAGATGGTGAAAGATGTAAAAGGCTATTAAGAAGTTTTCTGTTGGATTGGAATGTGCTCTTCCAACATTTGGGCGCATTCATTTCAAATTAGCGAAGAGCAATCATTCCGTTTTATACATCAAGGAAAGGTGTCTTTTTTGGCTCCCACCAGGTTATTGTCTCCCTCTTCTGCTTTCTATTGTAGAACTTCGCCTGAATTTTGACTTTCCAGTTCAGTATACAAAAAAATCAAAACTTTTGCTAACTTGCTCTGTTCTGTTCATTGTTGTACTCACGACAGCCTGCGATGCTACAGTAGCCGCAAGAATGCTGACTTATGTGCAAAACCTATTGTCTCTGCAGGGACTCAAGCCCGGATTTGAGCTTGAACTCCAATCGATGCAGTTTATTGCTCCCACTCCCACCCTTAAAGGAATCTTTCTTGTAACCTGAAGGTTTCGATTGTGCTGAGCAACATCATCTTCCGACTCTATTGAGCACAGTCTATACAGTGCACGTTAAACAATCCATTTTTTCACGACGTGCCATCTACACTGCGACGCATAATCTTAGTTCCACCTACAAATTTCCCAAAAACTTGGAGATGTTTTTGAAAAGGGCTCTACAGACAAATTGTGACACATGCAAATGCGAATCTGAATATTATCACGGAAATCCAGTTTGAGAAAGCAAACAATTTTTTATCCTCATTTTTTCGAAAATACCCGACTTGCCTATGACGCAAAATCATAGTTCCATCAAATTTTGAAAAATATTACCCACTCAAGTCCCTTAGCTTATAGCAAAGGCAAAACCGCTGTCGAACTTCCGTAAAAGGAAAACCCTAGCAAAAGAGACGCAGCAGTTGTTGAAGTGTCAGCTCACGCTAGAATTTGTCGGGGTGGCTTCATAACGAACAAGTTTCTCAAGGATGCTACAGGATATGATTCTGGGAAGAACCCTGATTACTATCCGACCGAGATAAGCGCCGTATCGTGAGAAAATAATACGACTTTATCCAGACGGGTACGGAAATCAAAACTTCTTCAAAAGTTAGTGTCTCAATGGAAGCAGTTTCACGTGTTTTACAACACGCTCGTGACAGTCCATGTCTGGAGGATAAGAAATACGCTTTCAGTGAAAAGAAATCAGAGAAGAAAACGAGCCATTTTTCTCAAAAAGTTTTGCTAAGTAGAGCGAAGTGAGGACACTTTTTTATCTGTGATATTTTGGAACCTCTGACCATCCTCCTGATCATTTTCTTCTCCATACATGTGTGCTACGAAGTAGAAAACCGATCTGAGAAAGAAAAACGTTAA